ACTTCTTATCTAACAATTCTTGCAGCTAAATTTTCAGTTCTTTCAGTTCGGTAGGTGCCATTCTGTACGGAGCCTTGGAAACTGGCTGTGTACCCGGTAATACTTCAACGGTGAACTCTATTTCCCTATCAATCAAATCCCCTAGCAGATCATCTGGAAAAACGTCTGGGAATTCTCTGACTATTGGAATACTATCCACATTAGATTGAGTATCAGTAGGTATAGTCAATATACAACATACATACCCTTTACACCCCTTTCTAATCAGTTTGAATGCTTTCATGGATGAAATCAGATATGGGGGAGGTATTACACCAACTCCGTTAAACGCAAATTCAGGCAATCTCGATGGACGGAAAACAACTTGTTTTGTTACACAGTCTATGGTAGCATGGTTTTTTGTTAACCAGTCCATCCCCAATATTACATCAAAATGATCAATATTCAAAGACAATAAATCAATATATAAATGCACATCCCCAATAACAATCTCACATGCAGGATACACGTAAGCACAAGTCATGGATTCCCCAGCGAGTGAAGATACAGCTAACAAATAATTCAACGGTTCCAGTGGTCTATTTAATTTTCGAGAAAACAAATGCGAGACAAATGAATGTGTAGACCCCAAATCAATCAGAATATAAGTATTTTGGGCACAGATTGAGAGTGTACCTGACACAACTGTCCCGGTATTCTGCACATCTCCCGGCACGAGTGCAAACACCCGGCCTTGCCTTAAAGGCTCCTTTCCAGTAGCTTTGGGGTTGGGTTTTGGTGGGACAGTTGATGTTGCGGCACTAGCAGCAGCTTTACTATTGTCTTGGGAAGTGGAAGGGAAATCTTTGACCATGTGGCCCACCTTGCCACACCTGTAACAAGCACCAAAAATTTTATAACAAACCCCCTTGTGCCTTTTTCCATATTCGGAGCAGGGTGGTATGGAACCACTTCCCTGGCTAGAACTGTTTGTTGACCCTGTGTTCTACTTTTTATTCAATGAACTGTTCCGGCCTTTCTTAAACTTAAAGCCTCATCTCTTACCGCGCTACTCATTCGCTGGTGTTTCAGTCTGTTTTAATGCTTCGATATTCGACTCAGCTATTATTGCTCGGTCAAGAACATCCACATATTTAAGTAAGTTCAGAACATTGATTCGATTAAGTATCTCGACATTAAGGCCACCTTCAAACTTCCTGGCCTTTTTATAATTAGTGTCCACCATGTGTGGTGCATATCTGGCGAGTTCAGTAAATTTAGATTCATATTCTACTACTGACATGGTGTCCTGTTTCAACTGTTCAAACTCAGTCACTTTGCGGTCTCGGACACACTGGGGAAAGTATTTTTCGAAGAAGGCTTCTTTAAACTGAGCCCAAGTCATGACAGTATTTGCATCTCGGACAAGCATCCACCACCGCCTAGCTTCTTCTTGTAAAGTGAAGGTAGCCAGTAACACCTTGTGTGCCTCCGAACACGGAAACACCTCAAATAGTTTCTTAGTCTCTGGAACCCATACTTCGGCCTTTAGTGGTTCAAGGCCTCCTTGGAATGATGGTGGTTTCATTTTGCTGAACTTTTGTGTCAAAGCAATGATATCATCATTAACATTCTGTTCGGGTTGTACTGGAGGAGGTGGGGGCTGTTGGTTCTGTTGTTGTCTTAAAGCTTCAATCAACAGTTCAACTGTTCTTTCTAATCTTGCCATTCTGGCATCAGATGATTCAGATTCATCGGCATTTCTTGCGTTGTCCATTTCACTATATGCAATACAATAAGCACAAACATAGGAAGTTGCATACTTGAACACATTAGCACATTATTCATATCATAGTCACACACTCTTTTATCAATGCTCATGCAATGCCCTAATCACTTTTCTAGGACATCCTATAGCTCCCTTGGACACGTGTGTGCGGTATAACTTATTCTTGGTATCACTCTGATACCACTCTATCACGACCTAAACCCGCTCCTATGGGTTTAGCATTGCAACCGGCCAGTAATCCGTGATTACCAAAGGCCTGCTTAACAGTAATGACAGTAATACAGAGTAAAGGGGCTGGCGGAAGCTAAAACAGTAAACAAAAGGTGTTCAATAAGCTGTGACAGTTTGAATGTAAAAAGACTTTTATGAATAAGTCACATTTGTAATCAAAACACATTTACATATCAGATATACATACATACATGTTAGGGATTCAATCCCTATGCCATAACTGTACAGTAGGAGTCTATAACATCTATTACAAAACAGAAACGGAAGGGTGAATCCAAACACCCCAAAACAGCCGTAGCTTGAATGGACTTGGAACCTCGAGGTGAGGCATGGTGGTTGGCTTGACAAAACAAGAGCTAATTCGACGCTCCTAGCTCCGGTCCGGTGTCTGGACACCTACATATATATATATATATATATAAACAGTGAGCTAAAGCCCAGTGAATAACGATTATGTAAAGAGGTTAAGAATGAATGTCCTTTCAGAAATTAAACAGTCATATCAGTCACTTAGAAACCATAGCAGTCATATGTGGTGCATCCCATAGCAAAACAGTACAGTAGGTCTTAACAGACCGAACAGTCAGTCGATGGCCATCATAACAGTAACAGTACTGGTTCCAAACATGGGAACCGACAGAGATCTCTGTGTCAGTAGGAGTAACAGTATAGTAACAGTAAATTGCTATGGATGCCACGAATATAGTTTACAAATAGGACAAACATTCATTCATTAAACAATAACGTTTTAGTAAGCAGAACAGTTGATCATTCAGAAAATAATCATAATTGAACATATCTTTACAACATTGTTACTCACAGAGCACTGGCTATAGGCAAGCTAAAGAGCCTCCTCGGATGCCAACCCTACACAGTAAATAAAACGAACGCACACTAAGTTATACACTAGGGATTAATAACTTAGCCCCTTAACTCGACTTGGTGTGGTTCTATGACATTATCCTCATTAAGATGCCTTAAACTTGGCCTAGGAATGCCTAGGATGGAATGAGGATGCAAAAATGCACTTTAAAACACTTTTCAAATTTTTGCTGAAACAGGGGTCTCGCTCGAGCATGGCTTTCTACGCTCGAGCAGACATGCAGACAAAGGAGCTCCGCTCGAGCGTGACTTCCCTCGCTCGAGCGGACTGTAAACTCATGAAAAAGGTACTGGATGCACGATTTTCACGCTCGACCTCCGCTCAAGCGTGAGACTCAGATCCTCGCTCGAGCGTGAATTCTCTCGCTCGAGCAGACTGCAAAACATATAAACTTCTAGGCATATGCATTTCACGCTCGAGCGTGACTTTCTACGCTCATGTACTCAGAGTGTACGCTCGAGCGTGAAATCCTCCGCTCGAGCGTAGGTCCAAAATCTGGAATTTCCAGATTGATCCTCAAGCATGAAACCCGACTTTTAAAGCTTTAAATTTGATTCTTTTGGGCTAATTTTCTGAAAAACACTTGAAGACTCATAGTACAACATGATTTGAAGATCAATTTTGAAAAATCAAGCCCAAAGGTGAGACAATTGAACACAATTTCAAAGGAACTTTCAGGAACAATACAAGAACTTAACATGAATGAGTTCTAATGAATTCCAATGCTCCAAAACATAACCAAATGCAAGATTGAGCTCAAAACTATGGTGAATTCATGGACTACAACCAAAATGTGGACATGTATGTGGAAATTCATGAAGAACAACCTCAAAATTCAAGAATATGTACATGCATGAATGAATTCACTCTCAACTCTATACTTTAAACCAATTCTTGACTTTAACTCCAAATTTCCATGGAACATGCAAGAGATAACTTGAATTCACAATTAAGAAGATGATTTTCCTATCTTAGGCCTTGAATTCAAAGTATACAAACTCAAATATGCAATCTCCTTTCAATTCCTCTAATTCTCCAAGCCAAAATCTCAATGAAACCAAAATTCTCCTACTCTCCCCCTCTCTCTCTCTCTCTCTCTCGATTATGGTCTCCAAAGTGGCTGAAGAAATGATATAAAACCAAACTCCAAACAATGACTCTAAGAGTGACTCACTCAATGGCAAAGATATAGCTATTGCAAACTAATGTAATTTATCTTTACTTAATCACTCCAAATCAAATTTTAATTAAACCTACCATAAAATTACATAAATTTTAACTAGCATAAAATACTAATCAATTTCTGATTCGGTCGCCGATAAGACCTTCAATTTGCAATTTGAAATTAAAACGTGAACATATCATATAATGACAAACAGATAGAAATACAACTAATGCAACCCACTCATGCAATCTGTTCAGAATTTCAGCTTAATCAGTTACTTATCATGCTCAATCACAGTTTAACATTAATCAGAGGTGAGGGTTGTCACAGTATTGGCTGAATGTATCCAGAATAAGCAGCTTTATACTGATCAACAGTGAAAAATTGTTCAACAAATGTACTGAAATCCCTTCCACTACTCTGTATTGCAACCACCGCATGTGCACATGGGAATCCGTTCAATTGCCACTGGAAGCAAGAACATGAACGCTTGCCAACGTCTACCAACACCGTTGGAAATGAATGGACCTCATATATGTCTTCATTTAACTGGCTAACAATCCATGTGCAACCATTGGAGTACGCCTCCCTAGCACGGCATTCCATTTTCGGACAAAGTAACCCATTCCAATTAGTAGCCAAAACTTTACGCTCAGCCCTCATAGTCATTATTTGATTTCTGATTGTATCAACCAACATTGTGATTGGATAATTACGGGCATCAAGTATTCATTTATTAAATGATTCTGCAGTATTCGAGGTCATCTCCCCATACCGTTTGCCCCTATTCACATTATGAAAACATAATGAAAATGCTATCACATATTGGGTACTTACAATGTTAGCACATGTAAAGCTCGTACGAACCTGAAATATGCATTGGCCTAATGCTTCGGTGGCATATCTTCCAAGAAATTATTTATTCCAGATCGTCTTGTTCCTTTTAGCTTCTTCTAATGCTGCTGAAACGAAGCCTCAGTTGGAGCATACGCACATTCACGCAACTTCGCTATTAAACCAAAACGTACACGGTTGTCAACCCATCGTAATTTGTCCCTCAAATTTGCTTGAAGATGTTGTAAGCAGTACGCTTGGTGTGCAGATGGGAATACAGCAGGCAAGGGTTCAAGCAACCCAATATTACGGTTGGATACAAAAGTTAATGTGCGAGCACTACTAACAACCTTTGTCAGTTGCTGTAAAAACCAAGTCCAATTTGCAGTTGTTTCAGAGTCAACAATAGTAAAAGCTAATCGGAATAAACCTGGCAGATTCAACAGGTTTACCATTAGATGAAATATTTTTAACAAAGTTTACGTCGACATGAACAATTGTTCACAATTCGAATTGCACCACACACAATGTTAGTAAAATAACATTAAATTGGAAACAATCTTGCAATTGGGGATCACCAACTACTATAGTGGACTTAAAAAAAAAGGTTAGCCACAATGTAATGTGTTACTATATGGAAGTATAAAGTAATCATCGTAAGAGACATACCTTTGTTGCCATCCTTCCCCCGTCGCTGCAAGCAAATTGTCTTTAAATCTCCCTTTTAAAAAAGTGCCGTTAAGAAACAATAATGGGAAGATATGGTTAAATCCATCAATGCAAGCTTTGAATGAAATAAAGGACCGCTTAAATCGGCCAGTAGACTGCTCAAAATCCAAGTTGACATAACTCCCAGGGTTGTAATGCATAACCGCATCTGCGTACCACCTAAGTTGATCAAATGAAGCATGATAGTCACCATACATTTCGCCTCTTGCCTTCTCCACACCTAACCATGCTACGTGGTAACTAACATTAAGGTCGTACTCCTTTTTTAGCTCAAACACGACGTCAGTGGGATGTGTAAGCGGCTTATCACGTAACCGATCACCAATAACATTGCAAACCAATTTAGAGTTAAGTCTGTTATTCTTCCCAGTGCGAACAACAGCACCACAACTATGCAAGTTGTTCAACCTCTTCAAGTGAAAAAAACCATTTCATGTTTGAACCCTACAATGTACCAACCATGAACACCTTTTTTGCTCTCACAATGTGCACACTGCTGTAACCTGAACTGAGTCATTTTTAACAAATTTGAAGTCAAATCCACACTCAATAGCATATTTGGACAAAACCAAACGGAAAGCAGCAAGACCCCCTTCGAAACATTGGCCTACATGACTAATGCCATGTGACCAATCAACTGTCATCAACATTTTCTCACTATGGTGACAATAATTGGCCAACAAATCTACTCTAGGTTGGGGACCTATAAATGGTTCACTGTGAGGATCCAGATGATTTGCAGACATAATCCTACTGAATTGAGTACCTCAATTCAAATCATCCACCTCATTTTGCGAGTCAATGGCAACGTTGATATGGGTAACGCCAATGGACCTTGCAATGGAAAACATGTTTTCCATGTCCACATCATTACACAACATCACTTGATTCTCGTGACACGGTAATTTGCAAGATATTGAAATCGATGATGGTGTCACATCCACCCACCTATCACATAAATTTTGTATTAATCGTTTTAATGTCAATCCATTAACACCCCTGATAGCAACCGTGGATGAACCGAAGGTGCAAAAAAGCATGATGTCCATATCCTGTACAACAAAATGAATGAAACATTAACTGTGGCATACATTCTACAAAAAACAATCACGAAACAATCACAACGTGGCCTAACCCACATTCAATCACAATCAATCACATTCAATTTTATATCTGAACAATGACAACCCAAATTAAATAACATACAAAGAGAAGTTAGATTAACATTAATATACATTCCAATAAATTCCATCAACCGATAAAATTGTCACATTCAATTGTAAAAAATAGAAACCAAAGACTTTGCGAAATGAAATGTGACACATATGTCCACAGTAAATACAAGAATCAGACAACACAATACAAAAACCAAGTACTTCTCCACGTGTATGTGAGCTACATTCACATACATTCCAATAGTATCCACCGACAAGCAAATATGACATTGAGAAGGAAAAAAATGAAACCTAATAATTTTGCGATTTGTAACATGACACGTATGTTTTGAAAAGTAGCACAACTGAAAAACAAAAACTAAATACAAATGAATGTAACACAGACCATTACCACATAACAGCCTTCGAGTCTACAGAATTGCGCTAATGTGAGGCTGTACCATTTCGCAGAACCTAGAAACATTCTCACATTGTCAATTTCTAATCTAATAAGCTATCATAAAATACTATTACGAAACGTAATGTGACATGTATGTGAACATTATAACACAATATCATTACCACGGAAGTTGATGCAAGATTACCACAACAAAGTCTACCAATGGATTGCTATGACAGATTGCGAAATCCATACGATATATGAGGACATTGAAAAAAAAACATTCGGAAAAAAACCAGATCAACACTCACCAATTGATTAAGCAGACAACTTGATCTCCTTCCCTCAAACAATCTGACTCCAAAGAGGCAAGATGAAACAACCAAACCAGAGCAACACTCACTAATTGAAAACCTAACAGACTCCGCAATCATGGCGCATATCACGGCACCAAACAATATGGAAAGAAAACGGTTAAAACATTACAACTTGTATCAAGGGTATAATAGTAAACTAATTCTATTAAAACACAATAGATAGGACTTAATGGAATAATTTCTAATTTAAATAGGACTTCAAACTCAATAAGAAATTTCATAGGACTTAACATAGTATAAGTCTCCCTAATAGGACTTATAAATAATTTTCCCTTAATATTAATATTAATAATTAGACTAGGTAAAGTCTCAATAACTATATCAAAATTGAGCTCAATTAATAAATCATCCTAAAAATTTAGTACATAATTTATATCTATATCTATCTATGTATTTGTTATAATAGTATAAGGCTCTATAAAAATTAATATAGCGATTCTGATTTTGACCTGATCTTTGTTGTACTCCGGACTCAGGTTTTATGGTTCAATGTTGTGGTTCATCTCTTATCCCCTTATGTTTGTCTTTTGGTTTGTTATGGTTGTGTTTGGGACAGGTTAGTTGCTTGATTTCCAAACTCTTGCTGCCTAGATTTTTGCTCATCCACTCAAGCGGCACTTCTTGCGCTCAAGCGGGCTTTGCAAACTCTCAGTACTTTTGTATGCCTGAAAAACTACTGGGAAAGTGTATTCTACGCTTCAGCGGGACTTTCTGCGCTCGATCAGCCACTTTTTGCGCTCGAGCAGTTGGTCAAATGTCTGTAAAACTACTGGATGTGTGTTTTCTACGCTCGAGCGTCACTTATTGCGCTCGAGCAGTGTGCGTCTTTTTCATTGTGTTTTGGTGCTCAGGCAGCACTTCTTGTGCTCAAGCGGAACAACTTTTTGTGTCTGATGCTCTAGCGTCACTTCTCATGCTCGAGCGGACTGTGCGTATATCAATTCGAAAAAATGACTTTTTATATCACTTTTTCAAATCCATTTCCTTTCAAACCCTAAAATTGGGACCCACTCTCTCTCTCTCTAACCTTACATTCTCTCTACATTTCCATATAGATCTAGTGGTTTCTCCACCCTACCCCCTTTGATAAAAAGGTAGAGCACATCACGGGCATCGTTTTGATCCGAATAGACTTTGGCTTCGGTGTCATTGGAGTTTCATCTTTGTTTTGCTCGTCTTCTCTCTTTGTGGTAGGGGTTTTTTACACTTTCATATAGTTTTTAACTTAGTTATTCGTCGCTGTGTAACAATGGTAGGATTTGAGAGTATTTTGAGCAAACCTAGGGTTTAGGGTTTAAAATTTAAAAGAGGGGTTTTTTGGTAGATGTGTTATAAATGGTTATGGGGTTGAATATAAGGTTACATTGTGACAAATAGTCAATTTTGGCAATTGGGTTGATGTTTGGGAAAGAGGGGAGTTTGCCCTCAAATGTTTCAAATACTTATTTTGTACAAATAAATGGAATTTGTATTGAAAATGTGAAATTAGATGAATATATTTGTGAATGGTAAAGTTGGATATGCATTACTTCTCACTTGTGAAATTTTGAATAAATTATTTGTCATGAGATTGAAGATCTATTTAGAAATATTTGTATCAGGCTATCGGTGGAGGATAGTTATGATTGTTGTAGAAATTGCGTGAGGATCAGGTGAATTGAAACTAATCCCCTGTGGGTTGTCATTGAATATAACTATATTTTAAATACATTGTATATACATAATTGTTTGGGAGGAGAAAGAGGATGTACTCCAATGCTTGGGAGGAGATAGGGGATGGACTCCATTGAAATTAAATTGGCCTGTGTGTCCTAGGTGAAAGTCCCATAACTGCGCATATACATGGGTACCGATCCCGAAGACGAAATTTTCGTAAAATGGTGAAATTGAAGTGTTTGTGTGAAATTTTGTTGATTTGAGAACCGATGAGTTGTAGTCATAGTGGGGTTGTTTGGAAGATAATAAAATCGACTCATGAATTAAGATGAAATAAATTAGCTTGAAATGAATTGAAGGAAATGAATTAAGATGGAAAATTTGGCATTTTATGATCATATGGAATATGAATGTTTTATCATAAGTATTGTATATACATCTTGCACCTATATCTTTGTTAAGACCCATATATTGTGTTAGATTGTTCCTAATGGGCTTTAGCTCAACCTATTTCGAAAAAATCATTTTCATGTGTTGGTAATGTGCCTTCACCAAGACAATAGCTTAGAGGGACCTTGGAGCAAGAGCTTTCTTTTGTTGTATTTCTTTCGTGCAGCCAAGGGCTTTATTTTTATAGAACTAGTCTCATTTTTGTTATAACCAAGCAATGACTTCGAAAAATGTAAGCATTTAAGACAAATAAATATCTGTTTAGCTTTCATCATTTTTTACTACTTGTAACACATGCTGTAAGTTCAGGATAAACTATTTATGAATGTATATTGCATGTGTCACTTTTATATATCAATTCAGATTAATGAAAGTTTATTATTTCGATTATGTTGTCTTGCGTTAATTGTGTTGAATTGGATTATTGTAATTATTTTTGGGGCGTTACGTTTAAAGTAATAATAATTTAAACTTTTTTTTTTCTTTTTTACTTTTGAAAGTTAAGAAATATACTTAGCATAAAAATATAGGCAAATCTAACCTTATCTATAATTTTAGAATTTAAAAATCTTTAAATAAAAAGTCAAAAAAAAATAGCCATAACTAATTCATATTTAATTTGAAATTTGAAATTTAAAATTTAAAATTGTAAGAGAATTTTTTAAATGTAACTTTAGTCCTATATAGTGGGTGTTTGGAAAGTGGCCATTTTTTAGGCTTTTTGACTTTTTGGCTATTTTAGTAGGCTATTTTAGTTTTTGTATTTGGGAAGATAGGATGGATTTTTATTTGGGTTGTGTATTAAAAAAAGTATTTGAAATGATGTTTGAGGCTGAAATGACAAATTTGTCCCTAACTTTACTTTTTTTAAATTAAGTTTGAAGGGGCAAAATTGTCATTTACTCTTTGAAATGATTGGGCTGTCAATCCTTATGCTTACACTGTCACGTTGACAGTGTAGGCTGCTCCCTATATTTTTTTTTTTATTTTTGAAATTAATTGGGTTTAGGGGCTAAAAGGCTTTTTTTTTTCTTTTTCTTTTTTTCTTTTTTTTAATTGGGGCTAAAATAGCATGTGGCTAAGCTTCCCAAACACGCCATAATTTCAAATTTTCAAAATATAAATATAAATATTTATTTTTTTTCATTTTTGAAGACCAAAAATTACATGTATCATGTAAAAAAAATTTAAAAAATGGGTTAATTACAAAAAAAAAAAAAATATATCTGAGGATTTTGCGTGTTTTTCAATTTAAATCCCATAATTTCAATTTTGACAAATTAAAACATAGAGTTTCATCTGTGTTTCACCTTGTTTCTCCTTTGTCGTAACTTCATTTCACATCATTTTTACGTCACTAGATTTACCTCATAGCCTAATTTGCATTCCACTCTTCACTGTGTTCCACACCTTTTTACTTTCTGTCAAAGCTCCAAAAGTTGGCAAAAAATAAGATTTTTTCTCTCTTTGAGCAAAATTTTTAGATTCAAATCTACATATTTAAGCACTTGTATTTCCCTCGTCGTAATTTCGTTTCTCCTCATTTTCTCATAGTTAGATTCAACTCATGGCCTAATTTTTATTCCACCTCTCATATGACTTGTTTCATAACTTGTTTCACCTCTTTTTGCATGTTATCCGAGCTCCAAAAATTAGATTTTCTCTCTGTATTGGCTGTATGATCTATTAGTGCTTCTACAAACAAATAACAAGACTTTCTCTCTGTCTCTCTGTCTCTCTCATGGCTTGTATTTTTGTCGTGCTGTTGATCTTCTTTATCCTCTTTGCAGCCATAGAAGCTCAAAAAAAGACCTCCAATCTAATAAGATTGGGTTCTTCTCTATCCCCTATCAGCAAACCCAATTCATGGCTCTCACCTTCAGGCCTTTCTGCATTCAGTTTCTACCCAAAAAAGAATGGATTTGCAGTAGGAATATGGATAATTGGCCACCCAAACAACACTGTTGTCTGGACTGCAAATCAAGACTACCCACTCGTGTTCTCAAAATCCACAATTGAGTTTACCAGAGATGGTAGGCTCATTCTAAACCATACCCAACAAGGCACAGAGTTGGATATTGCTGATTTCAATGTTGACAGTCGTGTTGTCTCTACATCAATACTCAACTCTGGCAATTTTATGTTATACGAGAACGATTCTTCTGTTATTTGGCAATGCTTTGATTCCCCAACTGACACCATATTAGGAAACCAAACTCTATCAGATCAACTAGTTTCAAGTGTGTCAAGCTCATCAGACCACTCAAGTGGCCGTTATTGTCTTCAAATGTAGGATGATGGAAATCTCGTTGCCTACCCAGTAAACAGTACTGACTATAATATTGATGCTTACTGGCTCTTTGATACTTCAGATTGTTAGCTTTTGATAAAACTCTCTTTAGAATGAACTATATTTTGTATTGAATTTTTCTCACTTATTGATTCATATATCTTGTCCATAGGCTTACATCCTTTTGTATAGAGAAGGTTATACATAAGTTCAATGAATAAGATCCATGAACCTAAACAACCTTGTAATTAATTAGGTACACGAATATAATCTAGACAATGTACTTAATAAATATAAAATACATGAATATAAAAATACATGAATACAAAGAATGTATGAACTCAATGCATGCAATGTATCCAATATATCTAATGTAAATATGACATTAATTTTAACACTCCCCCTTAATGCCACATTGTGTGACACCCAACATTTCTCTAAAAAATTCAAATTTGTCCCTTGGTAGAACTTTGGTGAAGATGTCCGCAACTTGATCTTCAGCCTTGCAATACTTGATTTGAATCTCATCATCTTCCACAGCTTCTCTAATGAAATGATGTTTGATAGCAATGTGTTTGGTACGAGAATGGTAGACAAGATTCTTTGCCATAGCAAATGCAGACTTATTATCACACATAATTGGGGTAGCTTCACCTTGCTTCTCACCAAAATCATCCAAAATTCTTAGCCAAATTGCTTGTGTAGTTGCTAATGATGCTGAAATATATTCAGCTTGAGCAGATGATTGTGCCACAGTTTGTTGTTTCTTGGATGACCATGAAATTACGCCCGATCCAAGAGAAAATGCATACCCAGAAGTGCTTCTCATATCATCAACACATCCGGCCCAATCACTATCACAAAATCCAATTAACTTTGCATCAAGAAATTTCTCATAAAAAATTCCATAATCAAGTGTACCTTGAATGTATCTCAACACTCTTTTTGCAACCCCAAAATGAATTTGGCTTGGACTGTGCATGAACCGAGACAATAAACTTGTAGCATACATGATGTCCGGTCTTGTAGCAGTTAAGTACAACAAACTTCCAACCAAACTTCTATAACAAGATGCTTCAGCTTCTTTGCTTCCATCTTCCTTTGACAACTTTTCATTCACAATCAAGGGAGTAGCAACTGGTTTGCAATTCTTCATTTTAAATTTCTCAAGAAGTGTTTGAGCATACTTCTTTTGGCAAATAAAAGCACCACCATTGTTTTGGTGGATTTCAATGCCTAAAAAATGATGCAATAGTCCCAAATCACTCATTTCATATTTCTTCATCATCTCCCTTTTAAAATCTTCAATCAATTTTTCATCATTGCCGGTAAAAACCAAATCATCAACATAAAGTGAAACAATGACAGTACCGGTTGTACCTTGCCTCTTAATGTACAAAGTTGGCTCACTTTTGCTTCTTTGAAAACCCTTTTCATTGAAATAAGCATCAATTTCACTATACCATGCCCGGGGTGCTTGCTTTAGGCCATATAAAGCCTTCTTCAACTTGTACACTTCATCTTTTTTGCCTTTGACAACAAAGCCTTGAGGTTGATCAACATACACTTCTTCTTCTAATTTCCCATTCAAAAATCCTGACTTTACATCAAGTTGGTGCAAGAACCAACCCTTTTGAGCCGCCAAAGCAATGACAGCTCTAATTGTATCAAGTCGAGCCACAAGAGCAAAAGTTTCTTGGAAATCAATTCCAGGTTGTTGTGAATACCCTTTTGCCACAAGTCTTGCTTTGTTCTTTTGAATAGAGCCATCCGGATTGAACTTTGTTTTGAAAATCCACTTCACACCAATTATTTCTTTTTCTTTCGGCTTCTCCACTAGCTCCCAAGTCTTGTTCTTTTCAATCACATGAATTTCAACTTCCATTGCTTTCTTCCATGGTTCATCTTTAATTGCCTCTTCAAAATTTTTAGGTTCAACAATGCATAAATTGCATCTTGCATACACATCACTAAGACTCCTTATATTTCTTGGAGTTGAACTTGGAGATGAAGAACTTGAACTTGAACTTGAACTTGAACTTGAAGAAAATTGTGAACTAGCAATTGGTGAAACTCTTTGTGGAGATTCAAGAGTTGCAACATCTTCAACTTGTAGACTTTCCGATTCTTCATTGAAAGCAATGCTTTGATCTTGGACTTTCTTTTCCTTCCAATCAAAAGACGTCTTTTCATCAAAGAGAACATCTCTACAAATAATCACCTTCTTTTGATCCAAACTGAAGAGTCTATAGCCTTTGGATTTTGAGCTATAACCCACAAAGATGCATTTCTTACTATTTTCATCAAGCTTGTGCCTCACTTCTTTTGGAACATGAGCATAACAAATGCAACCAAACACATTCAAGTGATTTACTGATGGTTTCCTTCCACTCCAAGCTTCAAATGGAGTTTTGTCCTTAAGAGCTTTTGTAGGACATCTATTCATCAAGTAAACTGTTGAATACGAACTACAACGAAATATTTATAATAGAACATTTCTATTCAATCCAACAATAAATTACATAGTTTTTATTGCGATTCAACCTTACAATGCATATTTGCCTAATCCCCTCCCTCCTACACACAACTCGGCCAAGTATTGCACCTTCCACCAGCAGCATGGTCATGATACTGACCTCTACTTTAGACTCCATCATGAGATCCAGGATCTCATTGACAACAAGGTGATACCGCCTCCTGAGAAGCCAAACGTCACTACAAATCCAAGGCATGTACAATGGCCAAAACATGGAACATGCTACACAAGCTTCTAAAGCTTCAAAGAGGTATCCAAAGCAAGCATGCAAGCATGCTATAAGGTCTGAAATTATGCAATAAATGATGCCAAATCATTAGAATGAAGCAAGTAGTGCATGCTATATACTTACACACTTGAGGCCAACAAGCCAAAATGCAAAGGGGGGATGTAATGCATGCCATGGCCGACCCAAACAACCTAGGACAGACCTAAAACATGTCAAGATAAGCACACAACCTTCACAAATATTTTACAATTCATGAATGGTCGACAACCCAAAAACCATATTCTTTTGTTGTAGATGCTTTAAGCTTTGAAAATTCAAGTGCCCAAATCTTCTATGCCAAAGCCATGAATTATCAATCACATCCATCTTCAAAGCTGCATTTTTGCTATACCGAAAAATGAGAGGAAAACTTATATTCTTCTCCATCTTGATTTTTGCTACAACTTGGCTCATGTTGATAAATATTGTTGGTTTCGAGGATAGCCAAAATGTTACAATTGTAACAAATTTGGGCATGTCAAGAAGGATTGCCTAGTCAAGAGCACTCAACAAGCTAATTTTTTCGAGGAGCAAGAAAGTGAAGGGCACATGTTCTATGCTTGTCACAAGGCATCAGATCAAAAGAAGGATGTATGGTTTCTCGATAGCGGATGTAGCAATCACATGACAAGAGATGAAAGCAATTTTGTGAAAATGGATGCTTCCTCCAGTTGTCAAGTAAAAATGGGGAATGGTGCCTTAGTCCAAACAAAAGGAAAAGGTACTATTGCTATAGAAACCAAGATGGGTACAAGATTCATTTCCGATGTTCTCTTAGTTCCAGACTAGGAGCAAAATTTGCTAAGTGTTGGACAACTTATGGAGCATGGATACCTTGTTCACTTTGAAGACGATTTTTGCAAAATTTTTGACAAAGGGGGAAAAAAGGTATCCATGCTCCATAAGTTGTCCAACACTTAGCTTGTTGAGTGCTCTTAACTAGGCAATCCTTCTTGACATGCCCAAATTTGTTGCAATTGTAACATTTTGGCTTTCCTCGAAACCAACAATCTTTATCAATATGATTGCTTCGGTTGCAAATTCCACACTTTTGTTGAGTGGACTCTTCATTTTCCTTTCTTTGAAAATTAGATCTTCCTCTTCCTCTTTCTCTTGCATTTCTTGCTCTTCCAGTTGCATTTTTTCCTCCTCCTCTTCCTCTTCCTTGGGAATTAGAGGTACTAACATTGAGCTTGGATTGAAAGGCACTTTCAATTGACTTTTCAGATTGCCTACTCAACCTTTGCTCAAATGCTTTAATTGAACCCATCAATTCTTCAATACTCAAATCAGCAAGATCTTTAGTTTCTTCAATGACAGCAACAATGGGATTGTATTTCTCCGGCAAACTTATCAAAATTTTCTCAATAACTCTTTGATTAGTAATATTATCCCCATAAATTTTCATTTGGTTTACAAGTTCCATAACCCTAGAAAAATAATCCTTCAACAATTCCATATCCTTCATCTTTAAATTTTCAAAATCTCTTTTCAATGATTGAAGTTTGATGGTTCTTACCTTCAAGTTGCCTCTATACTCTTTCTGAAGAACATCCCATGCCTCCTTCACTTTTGTTGCATTGATAATTCTTGGAAAGATTGCTTCTGAAACTCCTTGTTGAATAAAAGAGAGAGCCTTTGAATCCTTCTTCCTTTGCTCTTTTAATTGGTTCTTTTGGGGATTTTTCAAAGCGTCTTCATCTTCAGGTTCCTCGAACCCATTCTCAACAAGATCCCAAAGCTCCGTATAGACAAAAATAGTTCTCATTTTCACATACCAAAAATCAAAATTTTCACCATTAAAGATAGGAGTGGATACATTTTGGTTGATGGGATTCGCCATGGACGTCGGTTTGTTCTTCTTCGGGGCTTGTTTTCCCATATCCGATCTCTACGCCCAGCTTGCTCTTGACCCAACCAAAGCTCTGATACCACTTATGTTAGCTTTTGATAAAACTCTCTTTAGAATGAACTATATTTTGTATTGAATTTTTCTCACTTATTGATTCATATATCTTGCCCATAGGCTTACATCCTTTTATATAGAGAAGGTTATACATAAGTTCAATGAATAAGATCTATGAACCTAAACAACCTTGTAATTAATTAGGTACATGAATATAATCTAGACAATGTACTTAATAAATATAAAATACATGAATATAAAAATACATGAATACAAAGAATGTATGAGCTCAA